CATTGTGCATAAGTGGATTTATGTGGAAGTTAGGATCCGCCTCTCTAAGAATGTCTAAATTAATGACTTGCATTGTTAATGAAAAAATCTGTCAGGAACCCACAAATGGAAATCCTCCAGGCAAAAATGTCTGAACCTGTGACTAGCTCACCTTTCATTAGCTCACCAGTAGAAGAGTCGGAGTCATGTTTTGTGTGTGTTGTTGACATTAAGCTCTGTGTATGTCTGTGTTTTTATTCTTTCTAAATAGCCTTTTCCCCTCGCATGACTGGACATGAATCAGCGAGTTACTCACACACAGTACTCTTCCAATCTATTTACAACTCAGTTCTATGGAGTGGATGTTGATGTATCAAAATGGAAGAATGTCTGACAACATGCAGACTGTGAGAACCAATGAGGGTTCTGTGAAGTTAAACCTATTAATACATGGTCTGCCAGCCTCCCTTATCATGCGTTGGTGAGTTTGAAATGTTCCATCCCAGGTCACCTCACCCAAGGGATTTCTGGTACTTTCCATTCCATACTCCCCTGTATGGTATACAGCACAACAGACATTTGTAGTTACAGGTAGAAATCCCCAAGTGGGAGCCAGAGTACATATCATGCTAAGAGCCGGTACAATACTCCAGGATTTCTCTATAACAAATACCGTAGCTCTCACTTCATTCATTTATTTTTATCACAGCACTGATCAATTGTCAGATGTATGCCAAAAACAAATGATAGAAGAATGATTAAATGTGTGGATAGAAGAGAGAAAAACAGAAACATTTAGTTCATACAACTTTTATTGCCTAGTTGCAATCTTCACATTCATATTTGTCATAGTAGAAAATACCCTAAAATATAATTCACACACATATACCATACACACACACTTTCAGCTGTACTCTTGTCTAATAAACAGCATCTCACTTAACAAGTCAAACAGATCCGCCTGACCAATAACAGGTCTGAAGAACAGTTCTGTGATGAGTAATTGGCTGACAGCCTGTAGGTCAGAGGTCGATAGAAGGATGCGGCTGAATCGACCCGAGTCTCCTGGGTGAAGGGTCAGGACAACCTCCTGTAGAGCTCTTTGGGCCTCCTGTTGGAGACTGTTGATTAATACGGTGGTGCTCAGTCCTGGGACATCTGTTAAGAGGAAGTTAGGGAAATGGAATGTCAATTGAATTGTATTCAACCATCAGCAGTTCAACACTGTGACAGAAGAGTGAAGCTATTTGCCATCATTTGTCATGTTAGATTATTAAATAATCATTGATTATGCCATTTATTGCTTCAAATATTTAAATTGAATTAAATTAATACAATGTCAGTTCAGGTAGATTTGGAGTTCCACATTACATCATAGCATGCTGAGAAGAATTAGAAGAAGAAGATCTTTACCTGGATTGAACAGCATAGCACCCTTCAGATAGGCATATTCCTTTGGGCTGAGATCCAGAGTCCACAGTCTGTTCAGACAGGATCTGAGTTTATGCACCCCAGCCAGGGTGGGCAGCGACCTCTTCCCCTCATCTTCCTCCTCCTGCTCTTCCTCACTCTGTGGCCCCTGACCGTTGAGGAGGATCCTCCTCAGCATGCTAGCCTGTGGAACATCCTTCACCTCGAACACAGTCCGTTCCTGGGCCAGGCCCAGAGAGAACAGGGGCACCCAAGAGTCCCTCAGCAGAGATAGCTGATCCTCCACTGGAAGCTGACTGAAGGAGGGTAAACTCTTCATGAAGCAGATGGTTTTGACCAGAACATCAGACGCCACCTGACAGGTTCCCTCTGGGTTCTTCAGACACACCGGCCATCGCCGCTTGCAGTGACAGTTGTGAGGCATCATCTTGTTGTAGTCGTACTGGTTCACGTGATTGTTGTTGATCAGGCTGTCATTGTTGCTGTAGTTACTGTCCGCCCGGCTCAGGATGTTGTACAGGATGGTGTGAGGCTGCTGTTGTTGCTCCCGGTTACCTGAACAGCGACAGGTGGTCTTCATCTCTTCAAGAGGAAACATCATGGAACATTTCCCTTTGAGGATCAATAAAGTATCAATCAATCAATAGATTATAAGATGTCCCCAGTGCAGAGAATTTACAGAGCTATGCTAAAGAGGTGAGAATAGCCACATTCTCTCTTTAAAATATTGTCAAGTAGTGTAATCAGCAGCTCTGACTGTCTGACAACTCCAGTAGCCCAAGTCCTATTTATAGGTAGACAGGACACGCTCCTCTGATCTGTGTGTGACAAGTGAGCTTTGACCCCTCCCCCTCAGACCACACACACACTTGAGAACAACAGAGTGACCCTGGACTGCTCTGCTCTCTGCGTTAGGTTCTCTTCACGTGGAGCAAGGTGATAGGGCGTATTCAATACAACTGTGACATTAGGCCTGCAGGGAGGGAGAGACGTGAGGAAGCCGGCTGCGCTACGGGGTCAATGACATTTATCATGTTTACCTGGCTACCAAGGACGGGGTCAATGCTCCCATACAGACTGCCGCCCCAAACACACAGCCTTGGTTCAGTCTTCTATTTCTTGCTAGTTAAGGGGTAGATGAAAACTCAGGATCATAGGATAGCAGCGTTTGGTATTGACAAAGAGGAATATAATTTGAAGACCATTATGACACAAGCTGTAGCTCAGTTGGTAGAGCATGGTGCTTGCAACGCCAGGGTTGTGGGTTCGTTTCCCACGGGGGGCCAGTATGAAAATGTATGCACTCACTAACTGTAAGTCGCTCTGGATAAGAGCGTCTGCTAAATGACTAAAATGTAAATGTAAGTAGCCTAATCACATACCCTACCGGTCAAAAGTTTTAGAACACCTACTTTAGAACACCTACTCTTTCAAGGGTTTTTCTTTATTTTTACTATTTTCTACATTGTAGAATAGTGAAGACATCACAACTATGAAATAACACATGGAATCATGTAGTAACCAAAAAAGTGTTGAACAAATCAAAATATATTTTATATTTGAGATTCTTCAAATAGCCACCCTTTGCCTTGATGACAGCTTTGCACACTCTTGGCATTCTCTCAACCAGCTTCACCTGGAATGCTTTTCCAACAGTCTTGGAGGAGTTCCCACATATGCTGAGCACTTGTTGGCTGATTTTCCTTCACCATGCGGTCCGACTCATCCCAAACCATCTCAATTTGGTTGAGGTCAGGGTATTGTGGAGGCCAGGTCATCTGATGCAGAACTCCATCACTCTCCTTCTTGGTAAAATAGCCCTTACACAGCCTGGAGGTGTGTTGGGTCATTGTCCTATTGAAAAACAAATGATAGTCCCACTAAGCCCAAACCAGATGGGATGGCGTATCGCTGCAGAATGCTGTGGTAGCCATGCTGGTTAAGTGTGCCTTGAATCCTAAATAAATCACAGACAGGAAGCAGAGGTAACTCTGGGTCTTCCATTCCTGTGGCGGTCCTCATGAGAGCCAGTTTCATCATAGCGCTTGATGGTTTTTGCGACTGCACTTGAAGAAACGTTCAAAGTTCTTGAAATGTTCCGTATTGACTGACCTTCATGTCTTAAAGCGTCTGCTAAATGACAAAAATAAATAAATTAAATAAATTAAAGTAATGATGGACTGTCGTTTCTCTTTGCTTATTTGAGCTGTTCTTGCCATAATATGGATTTGTTATTTTACATCTTCTGGATACCCCGCCTACCTTGTCATAACACAACTGATTGGCTCAAACGCATTAATAAAGAAATAAATTCCACAAATTCACTTTTATGAAGGCACACCTGTTAATTGAAATGCATTCCAAGTGACTACCTCATGAAGCTGGTTGAGAGAATGCCAAGAGTGTGCAAAGCTGTCATCAAGGCAAAGGGTGGCTATTTGAAGAATCTCAAATATAAAATATATTTAGATTTGTTTAACACTTTTTTGGTTACTACATGATTCCATGTGTTATTTCATAGTTTTGATGTCTTCACTATTATTCTACAATATAGAAAATAGTAAAAATAAAGAAAAACCCTTGAAAGAGTAGGTGTTCTAAAACTTTTGACTGGTAGTGTAGATATCATTTTTTTCTCATTATCAATAGCCTACTTTCTTTTTGGCCTTACATGTGTTTTTGCAAATAGGCTATGTAACCTCGAAAACATTAATCTTTCCACCCATGTTGCATATCATATTTTTTAAAACAATAAAATAAAATAAACACGTATGCACTCTGGATAAGAGCATCTGCTAAATGACTAAAATGTTTTTAAAAATATCACTCAACATAACACTGTGATGTCACTGTGACCCTTATTTCAGTTTATTTGAATAGTTCAGTAGTGGCGCCACAGATATAGCATGTTATCTGGGTCAAAGAATGGAACATTGAGCTGTTGGTCATTGACACCTATCCATCAGAGATATCTGCTGGTAAATCACTATCATTGTCAATAAATGAAGGATTAGAATTAGAACGATATTATCCAACTATTAAATGTAACATTTTCAATAGGATTTCTGAAGACAAACAAGGTTCATTGCCAATTTAGAGGTGGGGATATTAGATATAATAGCTACAACAAAGAATTTCACAATCAGAATGTAATCCTTGAGCATATAAATCGTGTTTGCATGTGAAAATGTCTGTACATAAATACATTTTAATTAATTCAAACGCTAATTTATTTATGGCCCCTCTGTAGCTCAGTTGGTAGAGCATGGCGCTTGCTACGCCAGGGTTGTGGGTTCGATTCCCACGGGGGGCCAGTATAAAAAAAGTATGAAAATGTATGCACTCACTACTGTAAGTTGCTCTGGATAAGAGCGTCTGCTAAATGAGTAAAATGTAATAACAGATTAACCTAAGAAAATAACAATAATAGTGAAAATACATGAATATACGATAATAATGGCATAATTATTTTTTTTTGTTACCATCAGTCAAACACTAATTTCTCATCTAGAATATTCGGTTCCCCGCTGAACTCCGTTCTGCACCGTCAAAACTTGAACGTGCCATAGCCGTTCATCTAACACCATCTAATTGGCTGTTTGGTTTGCCAATCAAAAGGTTGGCCTCATCATGCATCAAAGTTTTCATTCGCTTAGAAACAATGCGGTGCTTGTTTCCAGGAAGTAGCACAGCAACGTGACTTCACATTGCTCCCTTTTAGCTCCCTGTTGCTGCTAGCCTGCATTTCAAATTATATTTTTTATCAAGTTTATACGTTAGGACAGAAAATGGGTGATGATGAAAAGTATGACGGGATGTTGCTTGTTATGGCACAACAGCATGAAGGAGGTGTACAAGAGGTAAACTACAGCTTGATAGCATGCTAACATTAGCTAGCAAATTCATCATACGACAACTGGTAGCCGGCTAATTTACGTTAGCTATATGACGGGGGATGGGAAAGTGTCCAGCGTGTGCATCATGCATGAATATGGCACCACAAACCTGTAGTTAATGTTAGTTGCATATATTAAATATCACACCAGTAGCGTAATCGTTAACCATAGTTTAGCTAGTTAGTTGTGTTTAGGCATGCTGGTGTGGTAACGCGTTAGTAAGCCATAGCAAATAGGCTTGTAAAAGGGTCAGGTTGGCTATGTATCATCTCTATTGTAATATCTATTCTCCCAACAGTTAGTAAACACGTTTTTCAGCTTCCTCCGGCGTAAAACAGACTTCTTCACGGGTGGAGAGGCAGGTGCACCAGAGAAGGTGAGTCCATAATTGGCTACCTAACAGAACAAATATGCATACGTCAAGAGATACAGAACTGCTAAAGTAGTTAATCAGTCTAATCTCCCCATTCTTTTCCACTCTGTCCGGTTTCCACTAGATAGCACAATCACAAAGTAAAAATTGGCTATATCGTAAAAAATTATGAAAGCATCAATGGTCTTAATTTAAGGTTAGGGTTATGCATAAGGTTAGAAGTATGGTTTAGGTTAGGATTAGGTTTATGACTTTGTGGCTGTGTTACCTAGTGACGACCCCTCTGTCCCCAGCTGGTGAAGGAGTCGTTTGCCCACCACAGTGGTCTTGCCCTGAAGGCCCACAGAGAGAAGGAGAAGAGACATGAGAAGGAGAAGAGAGAGAAGGCAGAGAGAGCTGCCAAGCTAGCTGAGGAAGAGGAGAAAAAGAAGAGTAAGAACGCAGACGATGAGCCAAAAATCAAAGAACTGACAGACGAAGAGGCAGAGATGCTTCAGTCTGAAATTGACCAGGTAAGAAAAACTGATTGTCATTTATGAATTATTGATTGATGTGCTATACAGACTAGATTTAACAGTTTGTCTTTGTCTTGATGAAGCGTATGTGCACTACTTTAATGTCTTTGTCTTGTCTTGGTTTCAGCAAAAGAAACAAGAGGAGAAGAAAGAGGCCACAAACACAAATGCTGTAACTCCAGCTGAGAAAGAAGGGAAAGAGAAGGGAGACAAGGAGGTAAGAGATTCTGTTGGGATGCCTCAGTAGATAAATGAGCTGTAGAGGTACACCACTGTTTCCCCTGCTATCGTATAGGCGGGGCATCCCACCTGGGTAAAAAACTGATGCACAAGGGTATTTTATGTATGTTGAAGCTAATTAATCACACTCTTCTTAATTTCTGCCAGACTGATTCCGACGGAGAAGAGGAGGACAAGGACAAGATTAAACCCAACGCTGGCAACGGCGCTGACCTGGCCAACTATCGCTGGACACAGTCCCTGTCTGAAGTGGATGTGAGTTTATTTCCTTTTTGCCTTAAGTGATTACCGTGTAGCTATGTTCCCTAGTACATGGATATTAAAGTTGTCTAACTGTAGCATGATTGTTGCTTTAACTATAGAGAGGTATTTTGTGCTCTCGTTATGCATGGGCAGCTCCCACTATTTCAGAGCGGATGTTGATTATCTTTTTGTCCTCAGTCGCTAGGGATTGCTTAAGTATTAGGCAAGATGTAATCTGGGCAGACAAGGTAATCAGGCATTCTGTTCGTTCCTCTTTATCCTCGCCTCCTAGCTAGTGGTGCCTTCATTCTAACTGGGTGTTGCCCTCTATTCCGTCCCCCCAGCTGGTGGTGCCTTTTGATGTGAAGTTCCGTATGAAAGGGAAGGATGTAGTGGTGGACATCCAGCGTCGTGTGCTGAAGGTGGGTCTGAAGGGCCGTCCTCCTGTGATCGAGGGACAGCTCTACAACGACGTTAAGGTGGAGGAGAGCTCCTGGCTCATTGAGGATGGCAAGGTGGTCACTGTTCACCTGGAGAAGGTACTTGGGAAAGAATGCTTTTATTTGAGATTTAAAATATTTCACGCTGAAACCATTTAAGGCACTAAGTCATGCCTTGTGTCTGTTTCAGATCAACAAGATGGAGTGGTGGAATAAGATAGTGACCACGGATCCTGAACTCAACACGAAGAAGATCTGTCCTGAGAACTCTAAGGTAACCAATGCCAAGCTACTGATGCAAGGCTCACTGTATATTGCAAGAGAGAACATGTGATTAGTCTCCTCTATTTAAAAGTAAAAGGGTAATTTACAGTTGGAAGTCGGAAGTTTACATACAGTTAGGTCGGAGTCATTAAAACTTGTTTTTCAACCACTCCATAAATGTTTTGTTAACAAACTATAGTTTTGGCAAGTCGGTTAGGACATCTACTTTGTGCATGACACAAGTAATTTTTCCAACAATTGTTTACAGACAGATTATTTCACTTATAATTCACTGTATCACAATTCCAGTGGGTCAGAAGTTTACATACACTAATGGCTTTAGAAGCTTCTGATAGGCTAATTGACATAATTTGAGTCAATTGGAGGTGTACCTGTGGATGTATTTCAAGGCCTACCTTCAAACTCAGTGCCTCTTTGCTTGGTGTCATGGGACAATCAAAAGAAATCAGCCGACCTCAGAACATTTTTTTGTAGACCTCCACAAGTCTGGTTCATCCTTGGGAGCAATTTCCAAACGCCTGAAGGTACCACATTCATCTTTACAAAAAATACTACGCAAGTATAAACACCATGGAACCACGCAGCCGTCATACCGCTCAGTAAGGAGACGCGTTCTGTCTCCTAGAGATGAACGTACTTTGGTGTGAAAAGTGCAAATCAATCCCAGAACAACAGCAAAGGACCTTGTGAAGATGCTGGAGGAAACAGGTACAAAAGTATCTATATCCACAGTAAAACGAGTCCTATATCGACATAACCTGAAAGGCCGCTCAGCAAGGAAGAAGCCACTGCTCCAAAACCGCCATAAAAAAGCCATACTACGGTTTGCAACTGCACATGGGGACAAAGATCGTACTTTTTGGAGAAATGTCCTCTGGTCTGATGAAACAAAAATAGATATGTTTGGCCATAATGACCATCGTTATGTTTGGAGGAAAAAAGGGGATGCTTGCAAGCCGAAGAACACCATCCCAACCGTGAAGCACGGGGGTGACAGCATCATGCTGTGGGGGTGCTTTGCTGCAGGAGGGACTGGTGCACTTCACAAAATAGAAGGAAAATTAAGTGGATATATTGAAGCAACATCTCAAGATATCAGGCAGGAGGTTAAAGCTTGGTCGCAAATGGGTCTTCTAAATGGACAATGACCCCAAGCATACTTCCAAAGTTGTGGCAAAATGGCTTAAGGACAACAAAGTCAAGGTATTGGAGTGGCCATCACAAAGCCCTGACCTCAATCCTATAGAACATTTGTGGGCAGAACTGAAAAAGCATGTCCGAGCAAGGAGGCCTACAAACCTGACTCAGTTACACCAGCTCTGTCAGGAGGAATGGGCCAGAATTCACCCAACTTATTGTGGGAAGCTTGTGGAAGGCTACCTGAAACGTTTGACCCAAGTTAATCAATTTAAAGGCAATGCTTCCAAATACGAATTGAGTGTATGTAAACCTCTGACCCACTGGGAATGTGATGAAAGAATAAAAGCTGAAATAAATCATTCTCTCTACTATTATTCTGACATTTCACGTTCTTGAAATAAAGTGGTGATCCTAACTGACCTAAAACAGGAATTGTGAAAAACTGAGTTTAAATGTATTTAGCTATGGTGTATGTAAACTTCCGACTTCAACTGTATCTCCCGCTCATTAAAACTCTTTCCCTCACCGTCCATCTCTCTCACCCTCAATCTCTCTCTCCTCTTCGATCTCTATCTCCCTCCCTCTATCTGTTTTCCTGCTGTCTCAGCTGTCCGATCTGGATGGGGAGACCCGTGGTATGGTGGAGAAGATGATGTACGACCAGAGACAGAAGTCCATGGGTCTACCCACCTCCGAAGAGCAAAAGAAACAAGACATCCTCAAAAAGTAGCTTTCAGCACTTTGGTTATAGCACCATCATATAGCATGTCCATCATGATAACGTTTAAGTATCATTTGGAAGACCCATTTGCGACCAAGCTTTAACTTCCTGACTGATATCTTGAGATGTTGCTTCAATATATCCACTTAATTTTGTCTTCACATATACAGTGAAAAGTTTGACCCATCTCAATCATCCTTGGGACTTAACTACTGACATAGAATTGAGTAGTTAATATTATACCTACGGACAGGAAATGTTCGCTTTGCTGTTAACTTTCTCGCAGGTCAAAGGTCAATTACGGGTGCATATTTTTCCTTATGCACAGGTGTGTAACCTGTACAAGTGTGTGGTGTGAAATGGAAAGGAGTTTTTTTGCAAATCCCACTCCCCCTGAGACACCCTCGGAGAATGCAGTCACAGCCAGGGATCAGCAGTTATTGAAGGCGACCCTGGAGCAATTAGGGTTAAGTGCCTTGCTCAATGACAGATTGACACATTTTTCACCTAGTCGGCTCGGGGATTTGAACTAGCAACCTTTCGGTTAATGGGCCAACGCTCTAACCACTAGGCACCCACTTGGCGCTTTGCTTTTTATTGTCTAACATGTTTCAGGAGCTACTGTATAGTTTAACAGAGCCATAGAATGGAGGTAAAATGTGAATTTGAAAGCAGACTGCCTCCTCTGTCTCCTCCTGTCAAGGTCAGGTCACATAATCATTGCAGCCATAAACGCAAAATGAGACGTCTGTACCAGCTTCCCTACGGAGTCAGGGACCAGAGCTGACCTCGCTTGTTGCTCCTCTACCATCATAATAACCAAGGTGTCTGGGGAGGGAACATGTCTCCCATTGCACTCATTTTTTATGAGTAGTGCATAAGTTATCCTATTCAAAGTCAGGGACCCACACTGACCTCGGCCTTTATTGTTCAGTCAGTCCCAAGGTGTTTGTGGGAAAATAATGTCTCCAACTGTTTAACTTTTGTTATATGAGCAGGTGGATTGCACAGTTTATGTGCCCTGTTTTTTATTGAAGAAAAAGTTATATGCAGTTAACATGCTACATAGTCTTGTGAATATGCTCCATATTCTAAAGATGACAAGACAATGACAATGTCCTTATTTCCTCCGCGATGTGACAATTTGAGGTGCATTAGTGATGGTTGGCAAATATTTCCGCAATGTTTTGTGATCTCTGTATGACTCGCTGGACTAGTACAGGTAGAAGGACCATTACACTGAGATAAAGGGTGTGTACGGGATAGAGGGAAGGAGCTGTAGCCGTCTGAGATGGATGTAGAGGACAGTCTCTTGACTGTGGAGGTTATTAACCCCTTCTAGTTTCTGCCACAAGCAAGGCCAGCGTTAGGTTACCCTTGTTCACCTGTTGCTTACTAGAAACCCTGATCTAGGGAAGGAGCCGTCGGAGATGCACTCTCTTCTCAGAGTTCAGGTGTTATTAACCCCTTCTACTTCCTGTCCTGGTCATGACGAGGCGAGGCCAATGATAGGTTAGCTGTGGTTGCTCACCTGTGGCTGGTTTTATGTGTGTCATTCTGCCTCGCCTCACATTTCCTCTCTTGTTTATGAGTGTCCTATTCATAAGATCTGGTACACTTACTAGTGTTAGACTTACTGTATGTTCATTACTGTGTGACACAATAGAAGAAATCCAAATCAAATTTTATGTCACATGCGCCAAATACAACAGGTACCTCACAGTGAAATGCTTATTTACAAGTCCTTAACCAACAATGCAGTTTTAAGAAAAAATAAGTATTAAGTAAAAAATAGATAAATAAAAATAACAAATAATTAAAGAGCAGCAGTAAAATAACAGTAGCAGTATAAATCCTTTATAAATGGATGTTAGTCTGATATGGTTACTTTGTAGGTATTGGACGATAATAGGCAAAAAAATATTATATCTACATTTTCCTGATGTGGAGGTAAGAAAACAAAGATATAGGTCAATATTGCTAAGAAAATATTGGCTATCGGTATCACCCCAAAGTTCCACATCGGTGCATCTCTAACCGGCGTCACTGTGCTGCTACCAGCTTTGCTTCCTCCGCTGTTCCTGTCCCCTTACTGGGCTCAAAGCTGGGATGAGTTTATCAGGTGTAATCTGATTTACACATGGCTAGTATACTGTCCTCAAGCTAGATGCAGTTAAATAGAATGGCGCATATGAAAGTGTATAGAAACCTTGAATGAGGCAGAACAGCTAGTCTTGCGAACTCCTATGGTTGTTGTCATTGCCAAATCCTTGTAGCCTGGGACCAGGCTGCTCTTTCACTGTTCAGACTCCATGATGTGACCCCCCCCCCCGTCATTGTGTTCCAGGTTCATGTCGCAGCACCCAGAGATGGATTTCTCTAAAGCCAAATTCAGCTGAGACGTCGCTGTCGTTCCCCAAACAACCCTCCATACCCTTCTGTGCTCTTACTCTGCCCAGGAAAACAACGACTGAGTCCTTACCAAACCCAACCTCCGGCGCCGATGTTACAGTTGAATTGAATCCCCCCCCCCCCCCCCCATATCTTTCTCTTCTCTTCTCTTTCTGTCTCTCATCACCCTTTTCTGTAGTCCTGAGGTGCTGGCTTCTTGTTAGTCTCATTCCTGTAACAGAAATGTGATGACTGTAATAACTCCCATCTCTGTTCCATGTGTTACAGTGTTCTGAATGTTTAAAGAAATGTTTGGAGCCTTTTTTATATATATATATATATATATATATATATATATATATATATATATATATATATATATATATATATATATATATATATAATGGCATCATCAGGACTTTAATGCAAGAGAAAAATAACTACTGAAACACCATGTGAGATTAACTACCATGCAGATTAGGCATTTATACTGAACCAAAATATAAAGGCAACATGTAAAGTGTTGGTCCCATGTTTCATGAGCTGAAATAAAAGATCCCAGAAATTTTCCATATGCACAAAAAGCTTATTTCTCTCAAATGTTGTGCACAAATGTGTTTACATCCCTGTTAGTGAGCGTTTCTCCTTTGCCAAGATAATCCATCCACCTGACAGGTGTGGCATATCAAGAAGTTGATTAAACAGCATGATCATTACACAGGTGAACCTTGTGCTGGGGACAATAAAAGGCCACCCTGAAATGTACAGTTTTGTCACACAACACAATGCCTCACGTTTTAAGGGAGCGTGCAATTGGCATGCTGACCGCAGGAATGTCCACCAGAGAGTTGAATGTTCATTTCTCTACCATAAGCCGCCTCGCAACATCGTGTTAGAGAATTTGGCAGTACGTCCAACTGGCCTCACAACTGCAGACCACGTGTAACCATGCCAGACCAGGACCTCCACATCCGGCTTCTTCACCTGCGGGATTGTCTGAGACCAGCCACCCGGACACCTTATGAAGTATTTCTGTCTGTAACAAACCCCTTTTGTGGGGAAAAACTCATTCTGGTTGGCTGTTACTGGCTCTCCAGTTGGTGGGCCTATGCCCTCCCAGGCCCACCCATTGCTGCGCCCCTGCCCAGTCATGTGAAATCCATAGATAAGGGCCTAATTCAATTGACTGATTTCCTTATATGAACAGTAACTCAGTAAAATCGTTAATTGTTGCATGTTGCCTTTATAGTTTTGTTCAGTGTAGTTAATTGTGAAATGTAACGAGAGCTTTCAGAGACGTGAGAGGGGAAGGTGGTAAATGTCAATTTTTTTATTTGTTCTGGGATTGTTTTTATTACCTTTGAATTGAAAGTTTACAATCATAAAATGTAGTTGAAGGCCAGGTTAACCGGTAGTCATATATATTTTGAAGGACATCCAAGCCTCAGGCCCAATAGCTGCTGGCTGACTGACATATTCAATGTGTTTGAAATTAAACTTGTTTGTGGTGAGGGACCATGTGTTGCTATTGTGTAGTGTTTGTATGAATCGCTTTAAATATGATCTGATATAGAATCAGGTATTTAGAGTAGAGTAAGGAGCAGGCAGACAACTTGAGTGTATAGAGTGGATGACATCAATATTTGTAGTTGTAGGTTGGGAATGGTTGAGTGAATATTACTGAGTTACTAGGCAAGGTCATCATGGTATTTTAGATTTAGAACCCTCAACTGAAGAGATTATTCAAATAAATTTCACGTGTATACTAAATGCATGAATATGATTAAAAGTCATACTTTTAAAATTATTTTAGATATAATATATATTAAGTACAATTCTTTATGTAATATTGTCTCCTGGTGTTTATACAATCTCGCCACAAGGGAGCGGTATTTTACTTCTAAAATCAGCAGTCATATTTTGTACCGTTTTCTACCTTGCATTTGATCAGGTAAATTAAAAGAAATAAGACTTTATTGTTAATTGTCCACAGGGAATGAAAATAAAATAAAACTACAGTATTTGCAGAATTTTCAATTAATTTGATAAACAAGTAAAATATTATATATATTTTTGAATGAAATTAGTTATTTAGAAAATGTAGTTAGTAGATCACACCAAAATTGATGGCATTGTAAAGGAATATAGGATCATTAAGAGTAGCTGGTAACCTATAAATGAGGTCACATAAATATAACTATAAAATATAAATATGACCTATAAATGAGGTTTGGAGGACACAGCGCATTAATAAGGAGGCCTGCTGGGGCGGTGGCGAAGCCTCTCAGAGTAGGATTGCAGATCTAGGATCTGTTTTACCTTTTAGATCATAATGAGTAAGACATATATGGACAGGGGGGACCTGATCCTAGATCAGCACTCCTACTCTGAGACACTTTATGAAAATGGGCTTTGGATCTCAACCAGACCCCAGCCTCCAGCTTCTCTGGCTCCCCCTGCAACAATAGGTCAGACGATGATTCCAGCCTGGTTCTATTGTCAGGGTCTGCATGGGGCCGTGGGTAAAATAGCCCAGCTCACTGAGGGGGTCTGGGGGTCCGCTGCCGGCTGCCCTCCCCTTCTCAGACTGGAGGAAGAACAACCAGCCTTCCAGCCAAGACCCTTCGGAAACGGAAAGATAGAGAGAGAGCATCATGGGTCCTTATAGAGGTTATAACTGGTGTTATAGCTGGAGTTATAACCACCCTGGATGATATAATAACAGACTGTTTCACCTCATGTTGACATGTGACATCCGATAGTGAGGGAAAACAATCAAACCACCTACTCCTGTTAATTAAGTGATGGGGCTACTGTTGGGCTGAAATTAGAATCTGGCACATTCAACCACCTAAAGCATCTGTGTGAACAAACACTCCTAAACACATGTAATGCTGTGATCCAGACGTGTCATGCATTATATCTGTGGGTAATACTAAGGTTGTTCACAGGTTTACAGGACTGAGGTCTATCATAGGAGAGTCAGGGGTATTTGCCCACCAAGTGGGGTATATGGGGATCCTGGGGTATCCTACCAGGTGTGAGCGAGAGAGGACATGTTTGATCGGTGTTTGCATGTGTCCCAGGATGTGTCCATGCATTAGGGTTGATGGGATTAACTGGAGAGGTTACACATCGTTCTCTCCGCATAGATGAATTCTGCTCTCACTGCATTTCTCCCCTGCTCACTTCAGAAGTTCAAAGTGTGGGATGAGGGTTAGGGGAAGGGGATGGTGGGGTGGAGTAGACAGTGTGGTGAGGTGTGTGTGTGAGGGGGGGTCTCTTTCCTTCATGTGCATTGCCACAGCTGGGATTCACTATACAGTCAACTTTGCTGGGTTTGAACACCATGCCTTATAATGCGGATGACCATTATATCTAGTTTTCCTTGAAAGTATCTTTCCTTCTCTCTCTCTGGGAAACCGTTTGAACGCTCTCCACAATGGTCTCTGTAGCTCAGCTGGTAGTGGACACTAGCCTTCTCTCCGTCCAGGTCAGATGACAGAGTGGCCAGTCACAGTGAGCCTTCAGTCAGGATTTGAACAGCTTCTCTGTGTACAGCTCAGTTATGCTAACCTCCTCAGAAGCACTAAAGATACCAAGTTTCACCTCATGAACTCTAGCCACTCTTTCATCAATAGACAGACCTGACTTTCTCAGGTCAAGGTGCTCTGCAAACTAGTCCTACTTCTCATAATAAAACAGACAAATGCTTGTACATTTAACAGTTTGATTCTAATTTGGCAAATGTACTTATTTGCAATCCTTACTAACTGGTCTCCATGATTTTTAAATGCTTTAAAACGTGCTTTCAAAACAAAAAAGGCCATTACATAACCAACCCATAGATTTCCATCCCATAAATTGGTAGCTTGAAGGAGAGAAGGAACAAGTGAGAGAGGAGAGAGAGAGAGGTCCACTCCACCAAGATGAAGGGAGACCAGAAGAAAAGGGTAAATTACTGTTCCTTTCTTATGGAAATAGTAATGAAGTGGTGAGGGGCCCGGGAACAATAGGGGCCACAGGCAGCTTGAGCGTCACCGTGTAAACTGCTTCCTGTTAGGGACCATTTAGGCCCTTTAACCTTTACTGACTAACACGCCGACTACAAAGAGAGGGCCTCCCCATCAAAGACACACCGGGGCTGGTAGCGGCCTCTGAGGTCTGTTCAGTCCAGACAGACCTTTCCCAGGCCTGACCTGACTGACTGACATCTATCAATAAAGTTTTCTAAATCTAAATCAAAAGGTGCGGCAGCGCCCCTTTCCATAGGGTTCAGGTTCGTTTTTTACAGCTTGTTTTTGAGAAACTGCATGAGTTGACATACAAATTCTTAAGGATGATTCCGCTATAAAGTATCTACCCACTCTTGTATATTTATCATTGCTATATAAAGCTGTTGAAATACCCAGCACATCTGGATCATAGTGACACGGCATCCAGTTGATTGTGTATAAGAGGCTTATACAGTTTCACTACTCACTCACAAATGTGGGTAAATACTTGGACAGGCCGAAATCCACTGTTGCCAAGTACCAGTTAAATATTGCATTTCCTGTACAAAATTACTGGATTAAGTGAATAATTGTTCTGGACAATCTATTTAGCTCAGTACTGCTGTGTGTCTATTTGTCTGTATACATTAAAATGCGTAAAATGTTGGGTGATAATAAAGTAGAGTTGTATGGATGTTGTATACAAGCAAACCACCTATAATGGGCGGCAGGTAGCTTAGTGGGTAAGAGCGTTGTGCCAGTAACCGAAAGGTCGCAGGTTCTAATCCCCGAGCCGACTAGGTGAAAAATCTGTCGATGTGCCCAGGCTCTGTCGTAGCCGGCCGCGACCGGGAGACCCATGGGGCGGCGCACAATTGGCCCAGCGTAGGGCAGGGAATGGCCGGCAGGGATGTAGCTCAGTTGGAGCATGGCGTTTGCAACGCCAGGGTTGTGGGTTCGATTCCCATGGAGGGCCAGTATGAAAAAAATAAAATAATGTATAAACTCACTAACTGTAAGTCGCTCTGGATAAGAGCGTCTGCTAAATGACAAAACATTTTTTTTAAAATTTGCCCTTAAGCACATTAATTGCTCATGTAAGTCGCTCTGGATAAGAGCGTCTGCTAAATGACTAAAATATAAATGTAATCTCAGCAAAGCTTAAAGATCAGAACAAGGGCCAGTCAGTAACCAACCACTAGGGGCAGTGTTACGGTCCTGATAGATTTCCTGACTCAAAATGATTGTCTTGCCCCAGGATTGAACAGACAGTAGGGGGAGCTCTAGCGGTTGTAGCCTAAGGAAGTGGATTGATATAGAGAAAGCCCATGCTGTGCTACAAGCATGGA